GCACCTTGCATGTAGATCACACAGACACAATCGAGGCTGATCACAACCAACGCAGTGTGGGTGGGATGCGTGTGGGTGAAATCTATGTAGGCAAATTTGAAGCATTTGAAGATTACAGATATTTAAGGGTCAATATTTTGGACAGTGGAAAATTATATTTTTCAGACTCTTCTAAAAGATGCTTTTCAAAAATTTATTGAAGTACCATATCCTTCAAATCTGCCTTCATTAGAAAAAGATAAAGCAGTTCATGTTTTAATTCAGCCACATTTCAGTCCTTTTTGGTCATTCTTTCCTTCAGTTTCTTTTGGGAGGTTTCTTTCCAGTTTTATGGGGTTTTGTTTTGGGTTTTTTTTTAATATTTGGCCATTAAATGATGTCAAGTACCTGCTTTTCTGGTGTTAGACATACATCTTCCTTGTTACACGCACTTCTAAAAGAGGAACTCACTATGAGTTCTGTGTGAATGCTGCTAGATTTGCTGCTGTACAAATAATACAAATTAAATATTCTTAATTATTTTAGCTCATACTAGAAAAGATTCAGGACAAAGGAGAGATTGATGCAGTGTGCCTTACAATGGTCCTACTGATTTCTCTACTGGCCTTTCCTCTGCACATGGTCAATTAGAATTGAAAATCCTGTGCTGATTTCATTCGCTGGAATTTTTAAGCAGGTCAGGAAGAAAGATGTTATTGAAAGGAAAAGTCTCATCTAAATAAGAAAAGAACACGTGGCCATCTGGTCTACACTGTACCATGCTGAAAGTAGTTTTGACTCTGCTCTAGTTTGAGCTTTGCAACAGTTTGCTAAAATATCAAACAGAAATATGTTTACCTTAAAACACTTCGTGCTTTTTATCTGTAAAATTGCTATGTGCAGTTCTCTTCCTATCTGTAAAGTATGAGCTCATTTGACCCTGTTACCTTATTGAGACTGTCTATGTTTCTGGTAGGTTCTCAAGTTACTTCAGCTCTGTAGAGGTATAAGTGAAACTACCAATCTTTTTAAAGTTTTGGAGATAATTCTGAGCACTATTCCTAGGACTAAAAGTCACACTTCTGTTTGAAGTAGGAAAGGCTCAAACAAGCCAATGCAACAGGAAGCATGGGGGGAAGAGGGGAGAGGAGAGTTTAAAAAAGGAAATTGGAACTTGAAGTCTGTGTGAGTAGCACCATGGAATTTGCACAACCAAATGTAGGCCACAGGCTAAGAGACAAGCTGTAATAGATATCTAAATTTTAAGGAATGGAGTCATAAATATGCATGAGCTAGCTTCCATGATTGCATTATTTCAGCATCAACTATTAAAAAGTTTAAAGAAGTCACTAAAAAAAACAGAGGTGAGCAATTTTCACACCAGGTAAATAAATTCTTCTTGTAAAAAACTAAACCACACAGCTCTAAATCTCAGGTGTGTGGACAACAACAGCAGGAGAGGATAATGCCATCTTTAAAGCAACACTGCTCAGGTCCTGCCTACTCTAGTGAGAGCTGTTGTACCCAGCACTCACAAAACCCAAGAGACCTTACTGGAAGAAGGGGAGAATGTTGAACTAAACATGGAGGCAAGGGCCCTGTACTCATATACTCTGGCTTAATGCTTATTTCTTATGTGATTAGATATTACTTTAACAAACACTGCATGAGTTGCCAGTTGAAATACTCTTCTAAGGCAAGGTAGTGTGTAAATCACTTCTGAAGTTTAAAGGAATTGATTTGCCTAGGATTTCAGCCTTTAGGAAAGGATAAAAATATGACTGCCTCGTCATTACCTTAAGAAAATGAAAGTGAGCACTTCATAATTTAGCTGCAGGCATTATTTCGAAACACATTTTTTGAAAGAAGTGACAAATTTTGTTTTAAAAATAATATGCAAGGATAAGTAGAAAGGAAATTATCACTTTAATACTACTGAACATGTGTACATACATATAATTTACAAATATATACTCCTCATTGTGTAGAGTTTGCTTGTGTATTTCATATAAAGTGTGTAAATTGTTCCTTTAGAAATGCATTCAGTTCCATATTTACAAAAAAAAAAATAAAATGCAGGAATACAAATTTGACCACAGCTCATGATTAATTTACTTAATTTTTCTGAAATCTCTATTCAGGAATTTTTAATTTGCTGTGGATATTGCTGCCACTACGTGCAATCTTTTGTTTGCATGGCTCCATTGCTATTTGGAAAGGAAGTTTTTTTTTTAAGATTAAATATGGGATACTTATGCTGGGTTCCTTTCCTCATAGTTTTTATAAGCAATATTAGAGAAAAAAAGCTGAAAAAATTATTACCTTTCCATTAGGATACCTGTTAGAGTAATTAAAATATAGTTTAAACATTTTCAGGGAGTAAATTAAAAGCATTGTACGTGTGTGCACGTGGCTGTATGTTTTAAAATGTATTTTCTTTTAGGTCTTTCTCATACAAAGTTCACATTGAAAAGCAAATATTAGTCATCATGTTTATCACACCATAATTTGTACCACAAGACAATGAAATTCCAAAGAATTTAGAAAATAGGTTGGTCAGCACAGCATACGTTTAAAAATTAAATAGAATACAGGCTTTGAATCTGCCTTTCCCCCTGTATGTCTCTGCTAACCCCACCCATAGCCACACCAAAGGGAGAGCAACTATTTTTGGGTGTGCTGCCTTCCCAAGCCCAACTTGGTGGCACGGTGACACTGGGCCACTCGGCTTTTCTGTGGGCTGTGGCTCGCAGGGCCAGCCCAGTCCCCTCCATGCGCCCCTTCGGTTTGAAGACAACCTATTCACAAAGCATTTCGCTACTGCCTCGTTTGAAACTATCGTAAAACTGTCTAGGAGCTCTCGCTAATCCCTCTAAACACAAATATCTTGTAAGGTTTCAGCTCGATGGGCATTCAGGAATGGGTAGCTGTACAGTAGTTTCTTGCCTTTATGTAATAGATCAAATGCGCATACAAAACCTTTACACATACTTGAGAGCTACACAGCAATTATGTAAGTGATGCATGAAGTTAACATAAAATACTGCATTGACTGTAAGGCTGGAGTAGAAATCACAGTAAAAACGGGAAACATTGGATGTCCCTAGTTACACTGTGCTGGAAAGTGTGTGCGTGTGCATATGTTTTGTACAATAATGTGTATATATGTTTACAAAGTTTCTTATTTGGTATTTTTTTTTTTTTTTTTTTTGCAAATCATAACAAGTTGAAACTGAGCCTGGCCGACATAAGGAGGAAAGGCTTGTGTTTGTCTTTAATCTTCTCTGCAGCACAGTTCAGACTTCTGTCTGATCTGCACATAGCAGAGCAAGGGGCTTGCCGTGCATTGCGTGCAGGCTCCTTGATTGTGGAAGGGAAAAAAAACCTGGCTGGAATCCAGACAGGCGAGCGCAGTGCTCTGTTGATCATTGTGTCTAGCCTTCAGGTGTCTCAGCTCACAGTGGGCGGCGGGTGGGGGAGGGGGAGATAACAGCAGGGCAGACAAAGAATAAAACAGTGTATTTACAGAGAAAAAAAAAAAAAAAATCATATGTAGGAGATTCACGTCAAATCCTTTTTTAAAAAATGCTTCTTTTAACGTTCCTCTCCCTGCAGTGGGAGCAAGCAAACATCTGTCCAGGAAGATTTATTTAAGCCATAATTAGTAGCGTCTGGAGTCTTTCAACAATTTCTCCTTATTGCACGTATTTTTTTATATAATTTTTTTATTTTTTTTATTTTTTTTTTATAAAGAAGTCCGCTCATCTTTCACTTAGAAACTGTTTTCACTTCATGCATTATTAGAGATCCAGCCCAGGCAGGACCGAATCAGATTTCTATTGTCTTTGCTTTTCCCCTTCTGATCGTAGTTTTCAGAATCGAACTTTTGGTAGGGAAGGGGGGTGGGAAGGATCATGCAGGCAGGAGGGAAAGACCTTATTAAAGGTCTTATGAGCAAGTGGTGGGGGGTGGGGGGCGTGAGGGAAGGAGCAAAAATACAAATCAGTGCTGTTTATTATACGGTTATTCATTTGGGTTCAATTTCTTTTCCAAGGAAATTGAAAAAAAAAAAAAAAAAAAAAGCGCTGCTTTGTCTGTTGCTTCTGTTTGAGAACTCTCATAAATCTTGCCCAGAAAGCAACTTGGGCTTAAGGAGATCTGGCCAGTAAAGCTCTGGGAAACAATTTCAATGTCTCCTGCTATGGATATTCTCTTCTTTCTGGCCCCTTCGTCCCCGCTGCCCCCTCCACCCGACCTTCTGACGTTATACCGTGGAGAGCCCCACACCCTTTCCCACCCCGCCAGGAATCCGAGTGAATGCAAGCTGCAATCAAGAGGTAAAGTTGCTTATCAAAAAGCCTGTCCTCATGCTGAGCAGATATTATACTAGTTGTGTGTTTTCAGTCCAGCCATAAGCCTTTCCTAACACTCCCCCCGTTGCCCTGCCTCTCCCCCTCCCCCCGTGGAAGGGGTGGGATGGGAACCTTGCTCGACTTCATTGTTCCAAATGTAAGAGCTATTTGCCCCAAAGTGTCTTCGCTGTCTTTCAGAGCTAATTATAATAACTGTCAGATGTCTGCAAAGTCTGGGCTGCCCTTGCTGCCGGAGTTAAAGTTTGCCTTTATGTTTTCCCCTTGGGGACAGATCAGGCCTGATTAGACACAGAGTACAAATAAAAGTGAACAACATACGTGTGTAGGGCTTTTTGTCTTTGTTTTTCTTTATGAACAAAGCAGCACGCTGGCTATGTCAGGAAGCAGTGTGTCATGCTGCATGCATGCAGGCACTGCCCTGGAGGATAACTCGCTTTTGCTTTTTTTTCTTTCTTTTTTTTTTTTCTTTTTTTTTTCCTCTTTCTTTTATTGAAGCATGCAAGAAATATTTCTGAATTTAAATAACACTTTAGATACTTGTTTATCTTATAAGAAAAGTAATCATAGATCTGGGCACGTAGCATTTTGACATTTTTAAGAGGTTTGTTTTTCCGTGTGAAAATAAAAATAAATAGATCCCATACTCACAGTTTTGTTGTGCTGTGCAGGTCGTTGTCTCCTTCTGCATCGACAAGGAGGGTTGGAGAATGTCAAGGGTGCAGAATCCCAGTTTAATTCAGGAGAAATGTATAAATGTGCTTCCTGAAGTCGCCTGGAAGTCAGCCACTTGTGCTCAGACATCCCATTGCTGCTCTGCACGCTATACTATCTGCAGTTCTGAATTGAACTAAATACTGCCCATGTGAAAGACAGGGGAAACACAGTCATGTGGGACACACAAATCCACTCTATTGGCTCTGAAGGCACAACTTCAGCATTCTTGCATTTCCACCATTGGTTAACAGTTCAAGCTGAAAGAGTCTAGGTCCTCCTAGTGAGTCCGTTTTCCCTTTATGTTGGAAGAATGACTGTAGGATTTTACAGTGACAGGATTAGTTAAGAAAGGGACTGAAGTCATCCCTTTGACTGAAGCTGGTGGGTGGGGATTGGAAGCTGTGCTTTTCTCAAGTCGACGTTTTTCCTTTTTCTGCCTGCATTCTCAGCGTCAGGAAATGCTTGCAGTTAACTTGGCCAGCAGAGAGAAACTGAAGTGACTTTTTCAGGTTCGGGGTTAGGGACCTGACTTTCAGAGTAACACAGTGTTACAGACAGTACAATGATTTTCATGTGAGTAACTAATCTGTTTTACCAAACTTGTTATTTTTCCCTTTTTCAGATTTTCTTTTTTTTTAAGCTCAGAAAGGGCTATATCAGGATCATTTATCCTGAACTTTTGTATCACATAAAGCCAGATAAATGAATCCAGCAGTTTGAAAGCCTAGACTAATAATTTGACAACAGAATAAAGATTTTACAGAATTACTGGATCTCTGGGGAATATTATTATATGGTCTTAGTAATATTTTTAAAGAAGCAACAAATTCCAGAAAATCTGTAATTGCTGATCTCTGAGAATAATGAAGATATTAAGATTAAGTAGGAGGGAAGAAGATTGACTATTCCCTATTTTGGTATTCTGTCATTTGTCTGATTTAGTTATGCCAGCGTGAGCAGTAATTTGAAACGGTACTCAGTCATGTGTGACATACTTCTCCAATTAACCCTTATTAAAAAGACCTTTCCCAAATCCCACATGCAGGTTTTCCTAGAACTACAGAAAACAGAGGTATGGCAGATTTTCAGGGTTTGTGTCCATCTTCCTCTCCAGGCAGATTTATCTCCTCTTATGCGTTTCCAGTGCTATGTCGCGTATAGTTCTGAATACACCCAGCGTGTGACTCCTGTTGGTGGACTGTTGAACTTGGGGCCCAGTTCAACAGTTGAAGTGCTTAAATATGCTTGGAAATTTCCCAGAATAATTAATCTGGAATAGTAAATTCATTATATGTCTGTGGTGTACGCAAGACCAAGGCCAGACCGTTCTGCTGGCAATTGTAGTGTTTACAGGATCCTATTTAGCAGCTTATGCCTGGCCCAGGGCATCACTTTGGTTCTTCCAGTCAAGCTTGTTCAGTCCACCTTAAACCAATGCTTCTCCCTCCTCAGAGTTCACCCTCTTAAGCTATTTATAGACTTTTATCATCACCTCACTGACCACCCTTGTCATCACTTAGCTGAACACCATATTCCAGGTGTAGCTGCATAAGATATGGGAACATTCCTCCATATCCTGTGACCTGGTATGGCTGCAGCAAATCAATATGTGTTTGCTTGATATGTGAGCAGGAAAATTACATCTCTTAAAAATAAACTGACACACCTGACAAAGAGGATTTTAAAGAAGATGAAGACAGTAAATATTCTACTTTGAGTTAGGCTTTCTTTGCTTCTAAGTGCTAAGATGCAGAGTGTTTTATTTTTTTTTTTCCAGAAGGCTTACTTATAAATGCTGTTTAATAGCAATATATAAAAGGTGTGGTTTGTTGGGTGGTGTTGTTTGGCTTTTTAATCTTCATGAAGAAAGATAATTGTCTGGTTTGGATAAAATAAGGCTACAGCAGTAGCATCAAAACTTTCTCTCCACCCACCAAAAATGTTTTCAGCTCCACTAGGCTTTTCACATCTGGACTCCAGAACACTGAGGGAAGAGAACTGAAAACCCTGGGAGACATTTTCTTTTCTTCACTGCGCTGGTGGTCTTCATAATTTTGGTTGCTTTTTCTTGTTGTTGTTTAATTCAATTAAAGAGTGGAAGAAATACTAATAAAAGAAAACTTACTCTAGAGAGCAGTAAACTCTTTGGTTTTAAGAGCAATGCATGGTCTTGTCTTAAATACATCTTTTTCATGAATGTAATTTCTGATTTTAAAATGCTGAAAAGCTCTTTACAGAGAGGGAATAAACATCTGAGTTCATTTATTATTGTTTAGCTTTTTCCTCAAACAACTCGAGTGGATTTTAGGAAAATCTAGGACTCTGGAGCAATGATTATTTATGTGCATTTCTTGAGCCATGAATCAAAGACCTAGATGATACAAGCAGACATTTTTGTGACACATAGTATTTTGGAGATCAAATTAATACTGTTGTATCACTGCTGTCTCCAGAGAGAGAAGTGCATCTTTATATGTATTTGTGCATCTAAATGGACATTTTATTCTCCCTGTCACGTCCATTGAAAAGAAAAAAAATGAAGATTTAGGCTACAATCATATTCACTCTCCCTGAATAATAAACTGCTTCTTTTGCCACTATTGTTAGAAAAGGCAAATTAATAATTGTAAGAGTCAAAGAATAAGAGCATCATGAAATTATCACAGTGTGGAAAATAAAGTTACTTTGCAAATTCTGTCATTGTGATGAAGTTTAACACAAGAGATAAGATGCTGGAGGAAACTGGGCTGTCAGAGTCTGGAGATCCTACTGCTCTGTGGTCCTCTGTGACTTCATCCTTTAACACCAGAGATCTCCATTTCTGGGTTTGGGTTACAGTTTTTGGTGTTGCAGCTTTCCCCTGGTCTAGCAAAGATTGGTAGATATGCTTAACTCCTGTCTAATAGAGATCCTATTCCTAAGAATTTCTAAGCTTCCCGGGCCAGGAAAACTAGGAAAGGAAAAACATGACTGAAGCTAGAAATTATAGTTGCCAAAGGAGCATTTTCAATATTTGGAAGCATTAGAGAGCAGATGGTTCGGTTAAGGGTGAGGAAAAGTAGGATGGCCTTGAACATCTTATACAGGGTGCATTCACAAATAACTTTTAAAAACAGATATTGATTTTTTTCATGTGGAAATATAAGCTCAATGTCTATTTGGGAGGAGCAGCAGATTTGTCCCTTGGCTTCTTCTTAGTAAGGCATACAGCATTTAGAAAGACAAAAGTCAAAAATTGTGTCTTTCAATGGAAAGGAATTGAACTTCATAGACTGTGTATTTGCTTACAACTTTACCAGAGAATTTTTGCTGTTCTATACACCTTTGCCTTTTATAATTCAGCAATAGGTGGTATTTGCTAAAGTTTCAAGCTTATATTAGTCAGTGCTACTAAAATCCCTTGAGACTGGTAGTGCATAAACAAAGAAGAAATCAGACAAAAAAAAAATCCCAGGAGATACTGGAAAAGCCAGAAAAAGACAGAGAAGAAGCAAAGTTATTGAAAATAGTCGAGGGAGAGCAAGTGGATGAAGGGCACCAAGAACCCATGGAGAGGAATTACCAGGGCCTGGAAATATACACATGCAGTGTGTGTACATATTCTGGAAATGGTTCTGTACCCTGGTTAAGAACAGCCCAAAGCTAACACAAGGAGATTTTCAAATGTGTCCAGTACAAAAGGGTTGTCAGTGAAGGTTTGTTCTCATCTCCTGTTACTAGGAGGGGTGCAAATAGCTGAAATGTCTGAGCAAATCATCTCTGCTGTATATGACCCAGATGGGCAGGCTAGGCTGCAGTATCTGCCATTGCCACAAAGAAAAACTATGGGTCTAGCTGTTAATATCATAATGGATTTTGTGAAACTTTGAGGGGGTGTATATTTTGCTTTTGTTTTTTTCCAGCTGAGTCTTATTCCTTGGTTTCCTTTATTTCTGTAGAAGTGAATGAAACCACCATGAGATACTAGGAAGGTTTTCAACAGTCAGAGAGGAAGCTGGGATCCCCTCACTAGTGAAAGTCAGAATGACTTACTCCTCTTTCCTCTGCAGGTCTTCTGTTTGCTTAGGGACAGCTTTTGGTGGGTAGCTTAGATAATATGGCTGTAATTTAACCACTATAAAGAAAAAAAGATCTTGATATCTTGATCTACATAGTGGAATTCATACATATGTTGAGCTTGTAGTTGTATATTTATAAACCTGATTTTGGTTACAGGACTGTTAGTGAGGAATTCAGATCTCATTCAGGTAAACTTAATACAATGGGGAAAAGTCCAGGATTATTAACTAATTGATCCTAGAATTTTTACTAATTTATTGAAGTGAAAATTAAAATAATGTCTTTAGAATTGTATTTGTAAAATAAAAATTTTAGATAAAATGTAATGTTATTTAAACAGTGCGTTGGTATATACTGCAGTATACTTCAAATCAAATTGAGTGACATGGGTCTTTTAAAGTTTGGCTACAAATGAGGTCACCATAAAGTTAGGCTATCCAGAAAAACTTGATCAATAAAGCTAGAATCAACCATGCTTTTGATCAGATAAACGTAAAAATGAAAGTTAGGTAAACAGTTTCTATATCACATCTGTGTATTCCAGAAAGTCTTGTAATTTCTTTTGAATAATGCTTTTTTTCTTTCCAGGGTAATTTCCTTAATTTAAAAAAAATCTTCCATTTTTGTCTCTTTTCTTTAATTATTTGTTCTTTTAAGTCCTTTCAGAATAAAAAATTTATTTTCCCTAAAAGACACTTGCCTGATACTCAGCTGGCTCAGTTTTAATCATAAAAAAATTAAGGCTTTATAGGGACAGACAAACTTGGTGACCATTACAGGAATTTTTCCCTCTAACTGCTCTTACAAGGTTATGCAGCTTTTTCTGGTTTCAGATGCAAGCTCTTTCATCCCCAGATAACCCATTGTAATATATAAATATATATATTTTATAAATTATTTCTCAAGCTGTTGTTTCCTTATAGATGTCTGCAACTGGCACTTCCTATTTTAATTTCCTTGTAAGATTGCTTTCAAAATCTAGAACTTATTAGAACTCAAATTATGTGCAATCCAGTATTTGGTAAAGAATGATAGTATTTAGCAGTTTCAAATGTAGAAGTCTATTCATTGAAAAAAATCCTGCATGTTCTATTGAACTAGTTCTATTTTTTATTGAATCTATTATTCCCTGGGATAAATCATCTGTCTCTTCACAGAGAAAATAGATGAATGTTGAAGTATTTCAAACTATATGAATTCCCTAAACTAAATAATGTATTCCCTGCACTGGCCCACTCCTACAGCACTGGCTGCACAGAACTGTTGTATTGTAGGTGAGATTAAAGCATCACTAGGACACAAGCCTATAGCAGTTGCAACATCTTTTTCAGTAAAAAAATATTAATGTAAAATATATGTTCCAAATTTTTCAAATTAATATATTGTTTGTGGACCAAGATAATAAATCTTGCAAATTATTTTTCTTCTTTGTCAATAATTTTGATGTAATGAGATTTTTCATTTTTAATTTGTAGCTCTTGACTGATATCTCAGTCTTTTAGGGATCAAAATAGTAGATAGCTTGCCCCATTTCTGTTCCAGTTTTGGGTGGTCCTAAACCAGCACAGTTTCAAAAGGAATTGTTTTTTTAAACCATCTGCCTTCCACATTTTACTCCTTAATGAAATAATTTATTTTGTTGTTTCCTTAAAGGATGTTAATACTGCATAAAAGCACTAACAATACCATAGTTTTCCTTACAAGAAGCCAGACCTGTTACTTTAAGGAGGCACATTTTTC